GTGGTGGAGTCACGTCCTTTCGAGTGCGCAATCGCCTGACGTACGGGGAAGAGGCACCAACATCTACCTGTCAACACATCGTGAGGATAGCAACAGTCTTGGTCCGACCAGATTTCGGGGGCGGATCGATCGAGAAAGCTGGAGAAAGCAAGACATGCAACAACCGGCAGCATCACGCGCGGTTTTGGAACGGCGGAGAGTTGGTGATGATGTCGGGCAAGGGCGGGGTTGAGCGTCGCTGAAGCATGGAGGCACAGCAGAGAGGTGTGAAGGAGAGCAAGTTCGGAGGTGAGGTCGAGTTGACTTTAATTCTCTCTGCAGAAGCGTAGAAGAATCACCCGCGTCGGGGGTGAGAAGGAAGCGAGTAGGAGCCAATAGGCTTGCACCCAAGGGCCTCGGCGGTGCTCATGTTCGTGTTGAACGGCAGGAAAGCAGTAGGCGTTTCGTCGATTTCAACGGCAGCAAGTAATGGCGATTTGAGGACGGTTTAACATCATCGAATGTTTCAATGTTTGAACATGTGCGAATAACATGTGCACAGCCGACGGCAATGGTTGATCTGTTTTTCGTACCGAGATATTTAGCACTACCAATCTACGCACGCTTTGATTGCACCTAATTCGCACCATCTTCAATTCTGTATTCAAGCAGCCGACGAGCGTGAAGCAGAGGCCCGGAGCAGCCACGGCGGATACAAACCTCTGGAAGGTCGAACGTTGTAGGAGAGGCACGTTAGCGCGCCAGAGGTAGACGTTCAACGCAAAAGTCATGGTCAGGTCACGGACCTTCCTGCCCTGCTGAGAAATAATAACAAAGGAAACCAAAGTCTGTTGGAGATGACCAGGAGGTCACGAGGTACTGCATACGTAAATGTCCAACTCGATGAACCTGGCGAGCAGCGAGTGAAGAACTGGGAGAATCGCAATGAATCTGAACGGAGTTGCGCCAAGAACGCGAGCATTCAGGAGAAAACAAATACGGGAGACACCGTCGTGGTGTCGATCGTCAGCAGAGAGTAGTGGAACAAGCTGTACCAGCAGGTAGGGCCGCAACGTCCGGCGACGGAAGAGTCGAACACGACGCGGCATTGTGGTGAGACACCAGTCACTTGCCCCGGGTCGACTGGACAAGATCGGTCATTGTGTAAATGAGGACGATGGTCTTCGAGTGGCGGGATGATGAGACGAAGGCGGGCAAATGAAGGCACAGGAACGGTTGAATCGAGAAAGCCAGAC